AAGGTGTAGAAGGAGGTACAATTGAATCTCGATCTACTTCTACTTTGATGGCTGATGTTCGTACACGCTTATTATTATTATTTCGATCCACTTCTCCATTTACGTTGTTGTTATTACTACAAATACTATTACCACGTTGGATTTTGGCTTTCAGTGCTTCCATTACTTGATCATGAGATAGACTATTATCGCTGTTGCTGTTACCATTACTCTCGCTGGTAAATTCATTCACTGAGTTGCGACTTCGTTTTCGTATAATGAGCTCATCAATACCACCACCAGGAGAAATAGCAGTCGATGATTGATGCTGATTTTGATTAGTATAATATAACTGATAATTATTTCGGCGAGCTGTATCTGATGATGATGAAGAAGGTAAACAAAGAGGGTGCGCTGAATGTGGATAAGCCTCATAGGATGATGAGGATGATCGATGATCCTTACTAGTAATGCGCTCCAAAACTTGTTGCTGGACGGGTGCCAATCCTTGATAGGACGAAATAGGAGGTAGTGTAGATCCGTTTTTATTCTTACTGTTGTTGTTATTATGATAGCTAGATGATGATGACGTTAAAGACGGTTGTATAGGCGTCGGTAGTGGTGGCGGTGTCGTATATCTTACAGTGGGTTGTTGTTGTTGCTGTTGTTGCTTGGTATCATAATATCGAATAGTAGCTTGTCCATGTTCACGCATAAGTTCAAGATCTAATTCTCTTAATTGAATACGCGCTTGTTCAATCTTTAAAGTATCTTGAGCTGTTATTTTCTATCATCACCCCCACCCCCATTTATTTTAGAAGAATTGAATTAACTGGAAGCATTAATTACTATTCTTTTTAAAACATGAAGAATTCACAAGACTTCGTTAGTAAGACTAAACCTACTTTATCTTCTTCTACTTTTGCTGTTAATACATGTTTCAAAATTTCGAAATCATCTTTATAACGTTCGAGGATTTGTCGCAAACTCAAGTCCATGTTTGTTTGAGCAGAAGGAGCCATTTTCGATAGTTATGATTATATTTGTAGATAAATGAAATGTAGTAATCTGAGTATAAAAGATACCACCCTTTGCCGAATAATAAAACACCCATCATGCGAGCCAGGAACACGCTGTCAACAAATTACTTAAATATAGATAGTATGTACTTGATAACTTCTGATAGACTTGTGGCTTCTTTTGTTACCAAAAACAATAAGTAATCTTTGAGTGCTTATAACCTATATAGAGTATGCTTTTTAAATTTGCTAAATAACATCAGCACTAAATAATCCACACTAGACCTCGTATCCGACAAAAGTTTTAGAACGTATAAAAGTACGTCTTATTATACCAAGTAACCTTTCAAGTTTCTATTTAAAGTAGTGTTTCTTTGTATATATATTAAACTACATGTAGATATTGTGACGAGCAAAGAGTTGTAAATATATAAAATATAAGAGTGTTACATAAATCAATCTACAAAATAAATAAGGCAAGCGATATAATAACTCAACGAGACGCAAAAATAACACAATTACATACCATCTCAATGTATATCATGCTCTCGTTCCTAGAGAGGCATTACCAGCATGTATATATAAACATAGCTAGTTTTACGATTTGAAAATGGTCACATAGATTGAATGTAATAAAAGGGAGCCTCTTATGTCAATCTTTTTGACGTTGGCTGTACGACATGTCAACGCAATTGACAGACTATTACACCAATAAAAACCAGTTTTAATTGTTATTATCACTTATTGTCTAGATAAATAAATTTCGAAATATAATTGTTGATATGCTATTTTTAAACACTAATAGTAATAGATAGCCTTCTTTATAAAGCCATCGTAGGTTGAGTATAACACTATGGTAACCAAGTACTGTATGTGATTTAGATGGTTTCAATATATACTAACGTGTACCAGAACAACATTTTGATTGGGCTTGATCTTATTAGCAACTCGAATAACATTATGGTTTTTTAATACACTCTTGATTATCCTGATACTGTCACCTGTGATATTACTTACTTCAATATATTGAAACCTTCTGGTTGTCATGGCGTTGTAAATGCTTTAATAAATTTTTGAGTGTCAATCAAACTAACACGTACGTTGAATACTTGCTAATCCGTACCATCATATCAATACTTTGAAAGACTGACTGCCTGAAATAATAGGTTTCATAATCTGTGCTTTTAATACTTCAAAGTATTCATTACTCAATATTATATCATTGGGTATCTATTATGCTAAACGTACCGATAAACTAATTATATTGTACTTGATGTTGATAGTTTAATAAAACACATATTGCAAAAAGAAAAGTTATTCATCTTGATATTCATAGATGAAAAATATGCAGTTGCTTTTTTTGCTACCAAGTACCAGTAAGGGGGAGGAGTTAATAACAATAATCGCGAATATGATGGATACATTTACAATTTTTATCAACAAGTCTTACCGTGATTAGGAAATACGGGTATTGCTACATACCAAGATCGATATCGGTAAATCTGAGATAACTCCAGCCTATTCATTTAATTAGTGAGTAGTTTTGCAGATGAGAACTGACTAGATATTAGTTTTGTTTTTTAATGTTGTACTCTTGCTAATGATTATATTTGCACATGTATAATGGTGAAGGTCATGTCTCAATATGTCATGAAGATAAGCTCAGTCTGAAATATAATTAAAAAGGAGGCCTTTTCAAGACTCTTATCTTTATACTAATTTAGACCAACTACAAAGTTTAGATGGGTAGGTCTATATAGTTAATAGGTGCACGCTAATTATTTACGTCTAGCCTATTTTACTTTCACTATATTTGATGTATTGATCTTTAGTATAATACCACTGCTGCTTATACTCTTGAACACCATTATTTTGATGATGATCCTCAGCTTTCTCTCTTGTTTGAAAACGAACAGTAATCTAAACGGAGATACTTATTATCTTTAAAAAAACATATCCATTAATAGAAAAGAGTATTATTATTTTCTGAAAGTAGCTTTATTTTAAATTATACATTTTTTTCCTATATATAAAAAAAATTGTCTTTGTTATAGATAGAGTTTTTTAGTGTTATCATTCTCTTCTTTGAATAATATTTTTTTATTGTTTATTTAAAAATAGCCATTGTCATCAGTTTCTTTTTTTATGCCTTTTGTAATCTGTCGTAATTCGTGCTCGGCAACCACACCTTCATAATAGTCATTATCATATATAACTAATGCTATGCATCATTAATTATTATTGGCATTTCATCACTATATCTTTTATATTTTCTGCAGTACTTCTAGAAACATAAATATAAGTATTCTCACATCTACCGCAAAACAAAAAGACAAGCTTAATAATGCTCAAAACAGCTGTATCAAAATGGCTCTCAACCGTAATCGCTCCACACCCTTTCCAACGATTGTACCACTGGCTTTAGCAGACTTACCCTCCATGCAAACAAGGACGCGCATTTTACAGCTGAAATTCGTTACTCGCCTACAAGATTTGCCACTTAGCACCATGGCACGCTCCATAGAATTGTCCTTTCTACAAGGCAAAAATTGTGATAAACAATGGAAACATCTTACGTCAAACAACCCATTTTATCAACTTTACAAGAAATTAAAAAAAGATAGCAACCCTCTCAGTAAAACAATCACCCAAAAACGAGACGGAGAATTTCACACACGTGCGACAAAACGGAAAACAATACGATGTATGCGTCAAAAACGAATGATTGACCCGATTTTGTATCTGCCAGCTTTTCCCCATGACCGCCACCGTTTAATTAAATGGCGCATGCATTGGCTACCATCCTATCCACTTAAGAACTGTCGCTGTGGTGTAATCGCTGCCAACCGAGAACATTATGGCTCTTGCCCACTATTACTCACCCTTCTTGAAGATCTCAAGGGTGCTTTCGGCGATATCCCATCCCTAAGGCATGAACAACAACCACTTGACTATATACTCAATCGCCTTCCAAGGTCTGAAGTTGGTCTGACTCTCGGTAAATGGCAAACGGCCTGGCCAGCTCTCATACGTGTACTACGAGAAATTGACTATTTGAGTCATCCAAACGATGATTTCAACACAGACGAACCAGCACCAGAGGACGCTATGGATATTACTAACACTCCTCCTACACAATCCCAACCTATAAATTAGCCTATCTTCATACTACTTCATTAACAACTTCTTTCCTCTTTCTTTTTATTCTTTCTTATTACTTTCCAGTCACACTAAACTTTCTCTCTCATCAATTTAACTTTTTCCCATACTGGGTTTTTTCAGTTTTATTTTCTACCCCTTATATTTATATGTTCGTATATATTTTACACTTGCTCTTAATCCTAACGCACCGCAAGGAAGCGACCACAGGCCTATAGGCGAAGGTCCACTAGTCTTCCATCTTAATAAATATAAATTTTAAACTATTCTCACATCTATCATCAAGCAAAAAGATGTTGATGTTAATGTTATTATTTATTTCCCTTTTGTTATTCTATTTTATTTGGTTAATATTTTGCTATCCGCCAAAGTATATTGATACAGCTGACTAAAACATATGTCATATTTCTTATAATTATGATAAAACCACGAAGAAAGAACTACAAAGAGTAGAGGACACAGATACGACAGATAATATAATAGTTCAGATACATTTATCCAACGACATAGAATAATACCACAAATATAGTGGTAAATGGAATATAAAGTAGACAAAAGATACCCTTCTTATTTTATTTAATCAAATAATGTACTGGTATATTTTATATGTTCTAAAACTACAGTAGCTGATAATAATGATATAACAAAGAAATGGTAATTAATATTATGAGCCATGGTGTAAAAAAAACAACAAGCATCTGCTTCTATTATTATTATTATATATTATTTAATAATAATAATAATAAGGAGGAGGAGGAGCAAAAAATAAAATAAAATAATAAATATCTGATTAAAAAAAAATAAAAACATCATATAATATCGCCTAGCAATAATAAAATTGTATGCGTGCACGGGGAATCGAACCCCGGCCTTCTGCTTGGAAGGCAGAAATTGTACCACTCAACCATGCACGCCTTGATGTACGTAAATGTGAAACATTAAACAAGTCAGCATCGATTTTAATTTGAATATTTGATATAGAAGTATAAATAAATTAGTAGTATAGATGTTAAGCTTATCTTTATATTAAATATATATAGTAATAAGTCATAATATTAAATATTTTATTTAATCAACTAGTATTTGCCTACCTTGCTTTGCTTTAGGTCATTCAATAGAAAATACATCATGAGGCAGGTAAATTCCTCTTAACCCTCAAAAAAGCACTTTGTGCCTGGTAGTAATAATGCCTAAGGCTATATAATTGTTTTGTGAATTCAATCAAATAACAAATAGACCGTATTAGTATAGTAATAAGGTGTCTTCAAGATGGGATAAAATCCTGTTGATAAAAAAGAAATGAAAATATTAAAAGTAAGAAGGTAATTTTATTAAGTTTTTATAGAGGTAAGGTAAGGTATATAATAATAATATAATAATAGTTTAGTTTAATAATAAAATATAATAAAAAACAATGAGTCCTTTGAAATAGTGTTTATTTATAAAAAATAAGATAAAGATTATTATTCTATATATATGAGTTGTTTATTATGATAGGTTATCTCTTCTAGTATGTCATCTGAAGAATATATCTTAAAGAATGCTATCTTAAGGTATAATAACCTTATTCTTAAGAAGATCTGTTTAAGCTTTATCAAGGGTAGACCCCTCTTACAATTACTAGTACTTTTACATTTGTAATTCCTCTATGACACTACAGTATTATAGAAGATTTAAAATAGTAATAAATACTCTATAAGTACAAAGTTTAATATACTTATATATAGTTATCTTAACTTTATATTTTTATATTAATTACAAAATCAATATGTATAACATTTCGAAATCAATATATTTTATAGAGCATATATCTTAATTTTATAGCTTATTTAAATATTTTATATTTTTTATCATTGTCATATGGCACACGTCAATCTTTTATCTCAGATAATTTAAATATAAACTAAATGTAAAAACACTAACCTAATCTCACATCGGTTGCTTTCTAAATACACAAATAGTAATTCTACCACAATGCCATTTTATAAACAGTATACAAATATAATAGTCAAATATAATTTATTCATTCACAATCACATAATACACAATTTAACATAATATAATATCATCTATAAATATAGGAAATTACACATCTAAAACATATATATATATATATATATAAAACTTACTTGTAATAGAAATAATTATCTCTTTATCTCTTTATCTTTCTATTATTGTGATATTCCTACCCACCATCAAAAATAAATAATAATAATATACACCGATCTAACTCAAACATAATAATATCGGTTACTTCTTCTCTATTATACCATATTAAGCAATTCATACCAAATAAAACATATAACAATAATAATATTATAGAATATACCAATCATAATCATATACCAATAGTAATATAAAACATATCATATATCAATATACTGAAACTAAAACAAGTAAACCCATCATCATAGGATAGGGGAATTATATACCAAAGAATATAAATATAGACTTAAAATTAAATGATCTTTTCTTTTATCTTGATACTTTATTTCATATAATAAAAGGCCTAATTGATTCTCACAAGACTTATACTTTGTTATCCATTTCTATTTCTATCTACTTTTATCTTACCTTATTTTTCTATACATATTTCCCATCCATACGACAATTATCATATTATTTTTATCTAATAAAACAGCTGAAAAATTCTCACAAGACTTATTCTTCTTTTATCATTTTTTATCCTTACCTTATTTTCCTATTAAATTCATATTCATAAATACTACTACAATTATTGCTCTTTATTATATAAAAAAATAATCAATTGTTTTATTCTATTATAATCAAGTTTATATATGGGCTGTTCTAGGGATGTGTATTTTCCTCCATTTGTAAATACTGTTGTTATTATATTATACCAAATTGTATGTTATATGGTTATAAAAGAAGGGTAGTGCTACCTGTGCAATTTTTTTTCTTAGCGGTGCGATTTTTTCTAGCGGGTGTTTAATTGTAGGGGTACAGCGCAAACAGCCATAGCCAACCAGTACGACTTCTCTTATACTAAACATACTGAAGCGTTCAATGTGTGATTGAAGTACTTCGTATAAAGATATAAAATAAAGAAGAAATAATACACTATGTTGTTGTATTTGAGTAATAATTTATAGTAAAGAATAGAAATATGGGTTGTGGGAGTTCTTATATTTAGGAATATTACGTCTGAATCCACAAAAGAGAAATCTTATAATGAGTTTAAGAGACTTTATGCTCAAAGGAAACTATTGTTAGGTCAATTTAATTGTTAAAAAACTAAAAGATTTTAAAGGTAAAGATAGAACTGAAGAAAAGATTTTATTTGAAATAATTTAAAGGTATTTATACTATTTATCAATGCCGGAAATGTGGCGTTGCTTTACCAGAAATGTGGTATCGCTTTGCCGGAAATATGGTATTGTTTCACCAGAAAGGTGGCATTGCTTTGCCACAAATGTGCCTTTGCTTTGCCAGAAAAGTGGCATTAGATAAGCCAATAGGAACACGTAATGAGGCTGTTTGTGACACGATAATAATAGAATAATAATAATAATAATAATAGTAATAATGATGATGGTGATAACGCAGTAACGACAAGAATATTGAATTAAATGTTTTTTTAATTTATACGGTATGTTACAGTACTTCATTAAGACTCTAAACATTTTTTTCTCTACATATAATAACTTCTTATGAATGATATTTATTTCAGTTAATTCTACACTATTGGAACCAACTTACTAAACTAAATACGTAATATAGAATATACGTATAAATTTTTACTGTTCATTGGTGATAACTTATCTACAGAAAGGAGATAATTTTCTTGAATTTTTTGATTAAAATGGCTTTATTGGTGCGATTTTTTTTCACTACTTCTAAATGGCATTGCTATCAGTTTATTTGTTAATGTAAAACTAGTCTACTAAAATATAATATAAAGATGTGTCGATTATGACTAGTTATTAGCACTGACTTGCTCAAATATTATTCACCAAAAAAGAGATAATACTCTTGAGTTATTTGATTAAAATGGCGATTTTTTTCTAACTCACTGGTTCGTGAATTATGTTATTAACAACGGCTATTTATTTGGTATTTTATTATTATTTTGTCGATCTTATCAACGATACTACAATGGTTTCAATATAGCAATAATTAATAATATTATCTTCTACATTGTATTGAGTATTCTTTAAACTACTTCAGAAAACAGTTCCATCATTGTAGATAGGAGACACATAAAGTAAAAACATAATTAGTTTGATATCGCTCTAATTCGAAGTATTTTTAATTGACATGCATACGTAAGTATGCTCAGAACATTCTGAGTGTGTTAGTTAGATATAAAAAGAGGCATCCTTTAATGACTAGATACGTACATGAGTAATTTCTGTAGGTAATAAAATAAATGAGAAGCAATATTGGAAATCAACTACAATATACCTATTAATATATATCAATACTAGACCTTGATTTAAAATGGTTTCGAATTTTCTGATCGACAAATGAACAGTGCTCATCCATACTTGAAACAACATTTCCTGGCAAATGTTCCACAAGAAATAAAGCAAAACGTTCTGACCTTTATTTGTTTTACAACCTGTTCCTTCTGTAAATATATATCAACAAGAATCAGTATCTATTTATTATTTGATATTGACACAATTACGTGCTATCATAGCAACATAACTATAGAAGTCCCTACCTAATTTACTGACCACCTTTATGCCCATCATGTACTTAATCCACGGTCAGGTAAATGTAGTTCGAAGTACTGTACCAGGAGTTATACTGCCCATGAAAACGTTTTTAAACGATATTTTCTATTTTTGTTGATTAGTGTTTATGCTGTTTAAAGCTCCAGAATTATATAAAATTTGCTACACATGTCCCATATAAGATGAAGTTTGGTGATGTACATTCGAAAATAGATAGTATGATGACTAGTGACCGACTCTGCTTTTATACAGTTGCACCTCTGTTGAGCACCAAAATAGACGATTCTTGACTCGCTTTGACACACGTGGCTTCAGACGGAAAATTTATACCCACAATTTTCCCATTAAAATGAATATACAAATGGATATAGTCGACTTATTGTTTTATACGGTTTTGGCTTGGAGCATTACACTATAAGAAATATGTAAAATATTAAGTCAAATCGAACAGATAATGAGTTATGCTAATAGAAAATCTATGTAGTCATGAAGATCATTTCCAAAAAAAAATCGCACAAATAAAGCCATTTTAATCAAATAACTCAAGAGTATTGTCTCTTTTTTTGTGGGTAATATTTGAGCAAGTCAGTGCTAATAACTAGTCATAATCGACATATCTTTATATTATATTTTAGTAGACTAGTTTTACATTATCAAATAAACTGATAGCAATGCCATTTAGAAGTGAAAAAAAATCGCACCAATAAAGCCATTTTAATCAAAAAATTCAAGAAAATTATCTCTTTTCTGTAGATAAGTTATCATCAATGAACAGTAAAAATTTATACGTATATTCTATATTACGTATTTAGTTTAGTAAGTTGGTTTCAATAGTGTAGAATTAACTGAAACAAATATCATTCATAAGAAGTTATTATATGTAGAGAAAAAAATGTTTAGAGTCTTAATGAAGTATGTTTAGTAAGAGAAGTCGTGCTGGTTGGCTATGGCTGTTTGCGCTGTACCTCTACAATTAAACACCCGCTAGAAAAAAATCGCACCGCTAAGAAAAAAAAGTCGCACAGGTAGCACTACCCATAAATTATATATGATTTTGTATATTATATAGAAATGTATACTGCTATTATAAAGTAGAATTAAATAATTTATATTTGTAATTTGTTGCTTGTATCACAAGTGGTAATTTGTTTATTTAGAACGTAACCAACATGAGATTTTATTTATGTTGGTTTATATTCGAATTATCTAAGATG